TTTTGTGATATGAATCCAACAATGATACCTATAAAGACTGAGCAATAAAATATAAGTGACCATCAAGTGGTTACTTAAAAACTTTTATGAGTAAACGACGACTAGCTAACACTTATTTTAAATTATACATAGCAGGGTAGAATGATAAACCAAAACCATTTTTCATTTATACAGACATAATATTGCATGCATTACGTTTATTGTCAATACATTAATACTAACCGAGTGAATATAATATAAATATATATTTCGTAAAACTGGATTATTATTATTATAGGATGCCTCACTATATGTTTGTATACCTCCATATTAAAAACGAGAATCAAGAATGCGATACTATGTATCATGGTATTAGCTACTAAGTAACTTATATAAAACATTTATTATTTACATATATGTATATGGAGTATAAATTTATATTTATTTACATTTACTAGCATTAAAAGTTTTGTTTATTTTTTATATTTTATAATTAAATAAAATAATTTTTATTTTTTAAAATAATTTCTGTATTAGGTTATGAAAATACACAGACAAACAGTATATATTAATGACGTTAAAAAAGAATGTAATTTTTAATTTTTTAAGAACAAGAAATTGTTTCATTTTTTATATTTTATAATTTATTATAATAATACAATTTATTATAACCACGAAAAGTTTTATCTATTGGTTTAATGGTTTAAAAGTATGTGAATTGCGTATTATTTATTATTTATCATACAGAAACGTCAAATATTTGTTTTAACTTTTTTTATTCTTTTTTTTCTACACAAAATATTATGTAATATCTATGTATATTATAAATGCATTGCAATTGTCCATAACGAGATACTTAAACAAAACGATRTTCATTAACTAATAAAATTAATTTGTGAATAACCCTAATTTAATCTATAGTTGGACCAACGCATAGATTAGCTAAGTATTTTCACTGAGTAATTTATTATGGAATTAAATATTGTTTATAAAAATAAAATAACAAAATTCTTCAATCAACAAAATGTGTATACCATACCTACACATAAATGATACATACATATGTTTTTGCATCTAATAAACGTAGAATATTAATCATTTTATAATAACTTATATAATATTAAAGCAAGGATTCTAAAAGATTATGTATACTACAGTGACGATGAGTATAATAACTACTGACAAATAATGACAAATATGTGCACGCGGTTGAATGAATGTTTAACGAGTTATATGACTTTATACGTAGGTACGTAGTATACGTCACATCGACATATATTAATTAAAACATTTTCAATGACTTGTATCCCATAGAACAAAGGGCCCTCTCACACGAGCATGTTAAGTGAGACTCTTACTAAAATGAATCTCCTACTTAAATTAGTTAAACGCGATAACTAATAAAAAAATTAATTAATTATTTACAATCAATAATAAGATAGTACTTATATGTTATGTGAATTCCTTCTCYCTTACTTAATTATGTAATATAGATCGGATAATTGATGRATGATGAAGATTAATGACACATAGTTTTAGTAAAATCACTAAACACTGGACTTTCCAAAAATATTTTTATACAATTATCTTTAATTATTCAATACATTTTTATTTTTCATTTTCACAAGTAATATACGATCTGTATCATTATACAATAAGAATGTATGTTAAGAGTATAATTGACAGGGACATTATTCTGATGGAAATTCAATAAAAAAAAAAAAATATATGATTTTCATCAAAACTGAATTGGATATGTACTTACGTCAGAACGAATAAACTCCGGAGATAGTCTTGCATATCATCGGCCATATTCACTGCACAAATTCCAACTCCTTCAAATTGTACTTTTATGTATGCCTGTAAAACACAATGGATATTGAACAAAATTTCTTTTGAAAAACTATTTAAATTTATTATTACTTACACCCAAATCCAAATAAGCAGTGTAAACGGGATATGGCAATACAATGCAAAATGCCACTATCCAACATCCAAATGTGCAAGCTAAAGGCGGAAGTCTCATTTTATTTGGATGTTTCAGATGTTTGTAACGGTCGATAGCCATTAAAAGAAAGGTCAGCATTATCACATGAGTAGGGACATCCTATTAAAAAAAAAAAAAAATACATAGATAAATTAAAAATTTCAATGCATAAATGATACAATTATTATTCAAATATTTTGTATATAATATATAAAAAATAAATAAAAAAATATGTGAATAATGTATTTATATATATAAGCAATATTTTAATTCAAATAATTTACTATTGTACATTGAGAGTTTTAATAAATATAAAATAACTTTTGATATAGGTTCTTGTCCAATAAATTTTTTTAAATGTCTATGGATAGAGAAACAAAAAAACATCTGATGAATCATTCTAAAAAACAATAAATTCAGTGTGTTTATGATTAGGATTTAGGACTATTCGGAGTAAATAGTGATAATATTCATCGTTCTTAAAAAATATATCATTGTAAAATCACAATTGCTTCTAAATCTGTGTCAACATCATCAAATTTCTTTAATACGAATCTTTGTCTATTTATGAAAAGAATTACCCAACTACTAACTAGAAAATAAGTATAAGTATAAGAATATAATATATATATATATTATATAAATATAATTGTAAATTAATGGAAAATACCGACAAAGCTATAAGTACAATAAAAAAAGCATACCAATAATGATCTATTTAATCCAGTTCTACAATATTTGATTTAATATTGAGTACAAATTATTGTTATTAATTTTCATAAAAAAAGTTTGATATTTGATWAAAAAAAAATAGTCATTTTTACACGTGTCTAATTTGATAAAAATATGTAATATGCTAAAATAGTTATATTTTTAGATAGTTTTAGCATATGCATATTTTAGCAATATAATTTTATTAGTTCGTTTGTATGCCTATATTGAAATGACTTATAAGTATAATATTCAATAAATTTCATATTTTACCTCAATAAATGATAAAATTTGACTCTTAACTAGTACTATTAATTAGTAATTGTTTTTAAATTTCTCAGTAACATTCCAGTAAAGTAAAAAAATAAGATTTGTTGAAAACTTATATTGTTTGAATACAAAATATAGTTTAACCATATTTATTCAGTAAATAATAAAAAAACATTTTGACCAAGGGGTTAAAAGGTCTAATAAATAATAAAATTGTATTTTTGGTTTTTATTGTATACACGTTTGGAATCCTAATTTTAACTTAAAACACCAAAATGTCCTGATTCAAACATCAGAATATTATGACATGAGTATATTTCTTTAATCATTTAGTAATTATGTGTAGCTAAGCTATATATTTAATGTTTTCAACATAATACATATTAAAAAATACTTATATATGAAATTCAAAAGGGACAAAATTGAGAAATTACTCGTAAATATTTTGCCGTAAGTATATCATAAATTCATAACAGTTAAAGTCAGTGTAATAATGTACAGAAACATAGCAAAAAATAA